AACAAACCCCCCGCCTTTGAAATGCACACGAAAACGAAATCAGACATAAAAACATTAAATTACAAACCCTTATTTTACACACTAAAAAAAAAAGAATAAAAGCTGGCGAGCAGGCGAAGGAAAGCCGAGACACAAAACTGAAACTGAAAATGAAACTGAAACAGCGAAATGTGGCCAGGACCAAGGACGTGGCACAACAAAGGGGCGACTCTCGAGTCGAGTCGAATCGCATTGAGTCTCAGTTCGTATGTTTCACAAGGGATGCAAACGCAAATGCCAGATATTAACCCCGCTCTATGCATGTGAGAGTGTGTCTGTGTGTGGCTGTGTGTTAGTGTGTGTTGGTGTGTGTTTGTTGTTGCGTTCTGCTTTTGTGCGATGTGTTTTCGCCGTGCCTGTCACTTTTTCGTGCCAAAACAAACGCAACGAACATTTTCGCCGATTAGAAAGAAACAATTCGTGAGTGCAACGTGAAGCGCCGCGCGTTCAGCTGTCGAAACGCTGATAATAACACAACAAATAAATGCAAAATATTAAATATTTAATGAAATAAGGAAAACATAACAAAAGTGCTAAAACCCCAAAAACAAAATTTCCCAAGAAATTCGAATACAAAAATATTCTAAGTAAAAATTCCCAGTTTAAGCTCAAGACTTGTGCTTCGTCTTTGTGTTGTTATTGTTTTGATGCTGCTTCCTCTTCGCGCAGTAGTTCTTTGTGTCTCTGACTATGCCTGTGTGTGTGTGTGTAACTGTGTGACTCAGCGCAAATGGCAATGCGCATCTTTGTTTACCTAGAGCTGAGCTAAACTAAACGCTGAATGCGGCGCCAAAAAATCGCAGCTTTTTGCAGCTGACAATGAGCGATTCCATTGATAATTTGCATGCCGATAACAGCAGCAGCAACAACAACAATAACAACAATAGCAACAGCAATATTGCCGCTGCCTCTGTCAACAACGATGGCGACTCCGATGTGGAGGTCATCGAGGGCATGGAACTGCTCGAGGGCAACTATCAAGTGCTACGGCAGTGGGTGCCGCCAGCGCCCAACTATTGGGACGCGCCACCCAAGGCGATCATCAAATCGGCTGAAGTGAGGTAAATAAATAAAAGCCAACGACGAACTTTCAAATGCTGCGCAAGGCAACAATAACAACAGCAACACGAACCACAAGTGCAACTGCAACATTCGAAAAACAAAACTAGCCGCAACTTGCCAGCTTGGGTGTTGTAATTGAACGTGCTATGTATTGCAGCTCGTATACCCTGTAAACTAACTTAATGTGTGTTTAAGATATTAGCATGCTGTGCGCAAGAGCAATATTTTGTTTACTAAATACACTTAATTTATACGAATTTATAAGCGATTCGGAATTTCTTGCACACCTCATAAACATTTGGATACAATATAATGAGAGAGAGAGAGAGAGAGAGATATGTATATGCGAAAAAAGAATGAAATGTAGAAAAAACAGATCATTTCACAGATGATAAATATGATGCTCTCTAAATAAAGAGAGGAAAATGTTGCTGAAAATATCATATATTAGAGCATTATCTCCCTTTAGCAATATGTTTATTTATGTATGTCTAATATAGTTATCGGCTCGTATATTGGTCGTAAAGAATAAAATCAATATAACTTTAGACAATTCTTAAGGCAGACAGAAATAGATAAGGAAAGGTAGGAAGAGGGACAGTAAGAGAGGGCAAGTTAAAGAGAAAGAGCAAGAGAGTGAGAGAGAGAGAGAGATAGAGCAAGAGAGAGAGAGAGAGAGAGAGAGAGAGAGATGAAGCAAGAGAGAGAGATAGAAAGAGAGCACGAGAGAAAATGAAAGAGAGAGGAGATAAAGAAAAAATTTTGCAAAATTTGGTAAAATAGTTTCAGAAAGAAAGCTTTACATATTATATATTATACATATTTTTTAGTCCAAATCTTAGTTCTAACTCTGTTAATCTTCTTCTTTTAAATTTGTATAATACATTCTAATCAAGCTTCTATACCTAGATTTATATTTAATGGTATTCAAGTTGCATTTATTAAGCCCGCTTTTAGTGTGTCAAAGGCCAACGTAGACCATATTACAGGGCATCTGCTAGTCGCTCAGTATGGAACGAAAATATTAATTTAACTGCACATTCAATATGTTTTAATTAAGTGCCACAATTTGACAGCACATTCCACTCTTGGCTGCACAAATTGCACAGCAATTAAATCGAAATCAACTCGAGTCGCGTCCAAATACGAACTCGATTTCAAACCCGATCGCCCTGATCGCCGGCCAATGGGCGTCTATCGCTCTAACGGTACCGCTCAATAAAAGTGCAGTTATTTGTAACGCACTTTTATGGCCACAAAATGCAATTGGCAACTGGTCACTGCAATTGCCTGCTCAATGGATATGGCCTCGAGTCAGAAACTCAACATTAATGCTGAAAGTTTACAGCTCGCAATTCATTCAATAAAAATTTGATTATTATGAGGGGCATCTAATGGATGAATAAGCTGAAAAAAAATGCAACGGGATGCAAATAAAATATTATATGTGCAAGTGTATCAATCGCTATTTGTTATGGAATAACAAGATGCACAAACCACAACTGTCTGCAACTGAAGTCGCAGCGAAAAATACTCTAATTGATAAAGATTGTGGTGGCTGGAATTAATTAGAGAGAGTGAAGATGGAAGAGAGCAGATAGATAAAAAAGTAGGCAGACGAATATAGGGAAAAGTAGAAAAAGACAAAAGTCTACTATTTGGCTTAGTTTCTTGTCTACAGATGAATAGTATTACTCAATGAAAAACTCAGTCTAAATAAGTTAAGCCCTTCAGACAGCTTGCAACACTACTTGCATGTTACTTATGCAACGTTTTGCAACACTGCTTAAGTAAATTAAAACTTTATGACAGCTGGCATAACTTTTTGTTTGCTTTCTTTCAAACAAGTGCAAGCCTCATTGTAAAGTGCATATGCCCCAAGTGGTAGCAAATAAGCATATTTGTCTGAGTGTCCGTCTCGGGCGTCTGCCTTCACTCAAGAAGCGCCAACAGTTGCCGTCTGAGTATTGCTGGCAACTGCTGCTGCCGCTGCCGCTGCTGCTGCTGTTGCTAGCTGCTGCCTGTCAACAAGCACCAAGTGGTATGCAACATGTGCAGCATCCAGCTATAGATTTGCTCAGATAAAGAGAGAGTGAGTGAACGGCCGAGAGAAAAGGAGGCAGGGAGGGGATTCGGTTTAACAGCTCGTCCACAAGTGTCTTCGTCTGCGCCGTTGACAACTGCAACATGAGTTTGCGGAATTGAATTGAGTTGCCTTAACGTTGCCAACGTTGTCCCCATTGCCCCCGCTGCCTGTTGCATGGACTGGTAAATAATAAATGCATTACTTGAGTGCATGCGAAATGGAAATCAAAATGCAAACACTGCCAGATTTTTTCTGCTGCTGCTGCTGCTGCTGTTGTGGCATCAAGTGCACCAGCGCAGATGTCGAATGTCGATGAGGCAGTCTCTCCTCTCTGCCTCTCGCCCTCTCTCTTTCCACTCGCTCACAGCTTTTTGTTTTTGTCTGACGGCCCGTTAAGTGCAGCCCAAAGTTTCGCATTGCATGCGCATTGTGCGAATGCTGCTGCTGCTGCTGTGGCAAGTATCTGTTGCACGTTCTCAATATGCATTTCAGAATTACAATATGTTGATTGCATTTGCTTGGGGCACGTACATGAGCCACATGCTCCAGGCACACCGAGCTACAGATCCCCATGCTCATAATAATGAGCATATTGAAATTGGCAACAAAAGCCAGCCAGCCAGCCAGCGGCCGGAAATGCGGCAGCGTTGCATGCTTCCTCTGCTTGCGGTTAGTTGGCTTTGCCCAGGACTAAATTACTTTATTTGTGCCTTAAACTCTTGCTAGTTGGGCTGCCTCGGGTAATTGATATGGCTTTGTTTCTGTAAACTGCAACTTCTATTGTTGTGCTGCCACAAAAAGCCTTTTTCCGCACACAATGGCGAGCCAGAAAGTTTGAAGTTTTTATTGCAGCACACAGATAGGAGTCCTTAAAAAATTATTAATGAACTCTGCCAATATCATAAATATTTTAAGTTGTACACAGTGAACTATATATATATCGCAAACCTTTCATATATTATCTATAAATCAAGTCTTATTTTTGCCCTTCTTTCGTTTCAGGTAAGTTTCATTTGTTTTCCACCACGACAACTCCTTTCACTTTGCTGCCAGACACAACAACAACAGCAACTGCAATAAACTATAACAATTTTGAATTGTGTGAAGGCGGCACGTCAATGTCGTTGGGTCTGACTGAGCACGAGGATTTTGATAGGTGTGTGCCTTGGCCTGGCTGATGTTGCTCCACAAATTACGATGACTTGTCACACGAGCTTTGTGAATTTCATTTGCTTTCCATGAATTGTTAGCAAATTAGCACAATTCTCCCAGCCTAAAGAAAAAAACTGCAACTGTGTCAAGTTTTTTGTAATATAGCATCGAATAACACGTAAGCACATTCATAAGCTATAACCAACAACTTTGACAGTTATTGTTAACTACTCAAGAAACTATTTAATATATAGCAGAGCCCAAAAACTTTTCACCTATTTTGGCTTGTAGATACAGTGTGCAGCGCTTATTGGTTAATGTTTTCCATGGAATTACGAATATTATTGATTTTATCTAATGTCTTAGCAGCGATCATAGCATTTTTATACTTGTTTGCAATGTGAAAAGAGTATATGAGCCAACAACATGAGGAATATATCTCTCATCGAATCAAGTATTAAGACTATCTACTGGAAAATTCGGAATACATATTTCTTTTCAAATTGAGTCTATTACGAATTATTTCAGAAGTTAGTACAAATGTCAAATACATATATGTATCTTCTAGAGCTTAATAAATTACTTTAACTCATTTTGTATGATCATAGAATGCTAAACGTCAATTGAAATGTCAGTTATATAAATATATATATATTTGGGTATAATACAAACTCTACACAGAGTAAACTAATATACTCTATAGAAACATTTGCGAAAGAAAATAAATGAGTTACATGATGGACCGAATAGAGAAACTGTTGAACCAAGAAAAAGATATATCGCATTTATCCAATGTGAACCGTATGTCATCTCAGTATACTGTTGTCAACCAGAAGCAGATACCAGACTATCTAGTCAACGATTTGGTGAACGAAGTCTGCGCTGTGATCAAAACGAGCCATGGTGCTAAAATTAGCAGCAGTGATTGCCAAGTCGTTTCGAAAATACATAAGAAATTGGACGACCGTAATGATGTTGATTTTGTTGATGACGATGATGACGATGATGACGATGATGACGATTTGGATCCGCGTCTCAAATGTTGGAAGAAAATGCTGCGTGAGCGTAAATTGGTCCAAAGACGCATTGAGCGAGAAACTGGCAAGCGAGCCGAGGATGTGCTCTTCAACCGTCATGCGACCATTGATGAGCAGATGAAACGGATGCTGCTGCGACTAATTGACACGGCCGAGCGCAGCGAAGGTGTGCCACCAACCCGACCAAAAGCTGTCCTCAAGATGCAGTATGATGCGGCGCAGTGCCGAATAAACCCCGAATTGGCCGCTGCCGAACCTCGCCTGAGAGTGCTGGAGTTTGTGGGCTTGGCGGAGGTGTCACAAATCGAGTTGGCAGATACATTACACCCAGCCGAGAGTAAATGGCTGCGCTCTGAGGCACTAGGACAGCGGATCGAGGAGCAGGAGGAAAATATTTTGCATGTCATAAGCCATTGTCCACAGTTCGATCAATTGCAGGTTGCATCGGTGTCGAAGCGCTGCAAAGAGAAAGTACTAGAAAGCAAAACAATTGGCGAGGAGGTTATCTACGAGGTGTCAACCGATACAGTCCAAGAGCCAACAGCAACGTCACTGCTATCGCAACCAAAAGAGCCAATCAAGGCCAGCATGGGGACTTCATCAATGATCGATTTTAACAAAACTCAGATGTTCAATGAGATAAAAATTAACGGACGTATCTATGGCTTTGGCTTTGACCATGGCATATTTACCAGCGACTTGCAGCTATATTTCCAATGTGATCCGCATCAGCGCATGCGCAAGACTATTGTCCATTTGGAGAACATCGGCAATTATATCTTGCAGATGCGCTGGCAGGCATGCTCCATCTATAAGAAGGAGCTGCAGCAGCATTTGGTCTTGAACAGTGAGTTCCTGTTCGACATACAACCATTTGTGTTGCTACCTGGAGCAGAACGTCGCATAGATGTTATGTACCAGCCCACGAGGGTGGGCATTAAGAAGCAACGCTGGTGCTTAACCATGATACGTTCTTCCAGCTGTGGGATACGACGTCTATATGTGCACTTCCATGGCTTCTGCACAATTCCCGTTGCCTATCGCGAGCGAATCGAACGGGATCAACAGTTGATTCTGAGCAAGCAGCATCGCCAGCTTACCGAGCGGCTGGCTAGAATACATGCGGAGCTGGCGCCCATTGTGGAGAATTGCAATTTGATGTGTCCCTATGAGCGTCAATTGGACGAACGTGAGATATTTAGTGCCCAAAATCCTGGCTTCAAAGTTGAGCGTTACGCAGATCTGGAGACGCTCAAGGAGCTCTATATGCTAGTCAAAAAACCACGTCAGCCAGCCTGGGACTTAAGTCTGGACACATTGAGGCAGTGCATCTATCAGCACAAGGCTCAGCAACGCGAAACTCTGCAGGCAATACTTGTCGAACTGCTGGCTCCAATGCGGTGCAATTCTGACCATATCTACGAGGACCAACACTTGACCCAGCAACAGGAGCGTTCGTGCTTTCTCTATGTGCGCGGCATCATCAGCAGCACGATTGAGAATTGGGAGACAATGAGCGACGGATTGGGCCAGCAATTTTTCAAATCCGAATTGCAAGTTTATCTCAATGAATTAAGAGAGAAGGGCGAAAAGATGCCCGTTGATTCGCTATATGTGGAATGGCTAGTCTCCAGAAAGGTGATACACAGCAAATACTTTAAGGATTCTCTTTTTATACAAACCTATACACTGGTCTGTGATGCTGCCGAAAATATTGTGTCTGCCATTGAGAGCACTAAAAAAGTTTAAAATTTTATTCAAAATGTCCATCTAGTGCTCATCTGGTTCCTCACTTCAATTGGAATTCGAAGTTTTGTACTTTTCTAGAGATTCCAAATCGAAATCATTCTCTAAATATACATAATTTGAATATTTAAACTATCTAGAACTGTATTTATATTTTTTCCCGACTATGGCCTCGCAGGACGCTGACAGTGGACTCGAACCGAATGATTATTCCGGACCTGAGAGCGTATTCAGATTCTCCAAGACTGGACCAGGAGTGCCGATCACAATGATCAATTTGAATCAAAATACGCAATCGTCAATCCACTGCATTCAAGACACACCGCTGAAAGCCGGTCGCAGTATTTCTCAATATAGTGAACGCATTGTCGAGGAAATAGTAAACGCTATTATAACGGAGCACCGTGGACACTTTCATGAGACATCGTCGACCTGTGACATTTCCAATTTCGGGGAGTCCGCACAAAAAGAAACTGAATCGCATGTGGACAAGCGGCTGGAGTATTGGCATGATATGTTGCAGACACGTCGTAAAATGCAGAAACGTGTCCAGGTACAGACGGGCAAAAGCCCAGAGCAGGTGCTCTTCAATCGTTCCTCAACGCTTGATAATCGCGACAAGGAGACGGTAAAACGACTCATGGACTACGCGGACCGTTTACAGCCCGAAAACCTGGCCAACAAGCCAATCAGTGTTCTAGTACAGCGTGAGGACCCCTGCACTTGCAATCTAATCGAACCCGTACCCGAAACCTGGCCAAAAGCCGAAATGCTGGGTGAAAAAAATATAGAGATCGTCGGACTGCCAAAAGTAGTGCAAGAAGAGCTGTTAGGCTCAGAGGCAGCCAATTATCAGCTGCGCCGTTGGAATTGGATGAATTCGAAAGTGCTGAATGATCGAATCGGTGAGAAATTCAATGACATATCGAAAGTGGTGAATTTCTTTCCCGATCTGGATCGTCTGCAGGTGAAGGGCATAAGCATAGCCAATATAAAGCCCAAGTCTAAAATTGAGCAGATCGGCGAGGACCTTATGCAGTCTTTATCAAGCAGCACCGAGAAAATGAGCGAAGAAGAACAATTAACGTTCAATGAATACTGGACGGAACCAGTGTTAACGGAACTCGATCTGGAGCCACAACGTCCAGACCTAGCACTCAAAGTAAATGGTCAGGAATATGTTGTGGGTGAGAAACCCTTACCCCAATGCTTTGATGCATTAACGAAATTCACTTGCGAACCGTACCAGCGGCGCTCTAAGGTTGTGCTCAAGCTGCAGAACATTGGCAGGCAAACTTTGTCGTTTCGCTGGACGCAGGGTATCTATTACTACAATTGCGGCTCACTGCTGCTGGCCAAGGACAATGAGTTCTTCTTCGATACGGACAGCTTTCGACTGACCACCAACCAGTGCTATGACGTGACTGTCTTGTATCAACCACGGAAGGTGTGCATAGCCGTTGAGCTCTGGCGTCTGCAGGTGGAGCCGCGCATATTTTGTGGCCACCATGAGTCGATACAGCTGCGTTTCCATGGCCGATGCACGGCGCCCAAAGAGTACTTAGCCCGAATCAAGGAGCTCCATTCCAATACAATTTACTTTGCAAACACAGTTGTGATGCAACAGCTGACAGAACATCTGGGCGATCTGGTGCCGCTGATTGAGCCACCGCCTGCGTGCTGTCCCTACGATCGCACTCTCGATGAACGGGAAATGTTCAACTCTTTGAATCCAGGATATAATTGTGTGCGTTTCGACGATCTGGAGGTGCTCAAGGGCATGTACAAGCTTCTAAAGAAACCGCGCGAGAAGCCCTGGGATCTCCGTTTGGAATCCATCAAAATGCTGATCATGCGCATGGAAAACGCGCTAGAGCGTACGAAAATGTTTAAAAAACTGATGATCCTACAGGAGCCGCTGTTGGGCACAGCACCCACCCTGGACATGGTGTCTCTACTGAATGAGCAGAAACAGCGTACTAGATTCATTTATGTACGCGGCGCCATATGCAATGGCATCGAGGAATGGGAGGATCTCATCTTTGTCGTCGAGGAATCTTTCTACAAGCCTGAACTGCATCGCTACTATATGCACCTCTTAGAAGAGGGCGATGAGGAGGCGAATAATGAGGAGACGCAAGCAGTTGCGCCCGAATATGAGTCCAGCTTGGAGCCTAGAATCGAGCAGCTTCTGAATGAAATCGAGACCGATAGGAGGGTCAATGTAGCGGTCATGAGGAAGCTGCATCGCTCCAAATATTTTCGTGACTCCCTCTACATACAAACCTATTCGCATTTGTGCAATATTGCCGAAAATATTGTTTCGATCATTGAGAGCACTGAGCTGGTGCCCACCTAAACTGCAAAGTTAATCTTCAGTTTAATTGTCGTTTAATTGATACCAGCTGAAATTCCTAGTTATAACAAAGAACCACAATATAGCCCAACTATGTACCTTGATTGACCTAAACTGAATTACATCAATTATTATTCACATTGTTGCTGCCTGATTTGATTGTCAGTTCAAAATCAGATGAGAATACACTCATAATCGTAGCTAGCTCAAATTAGATCCACAAACGGGCTCTATGGCAGATGAGGAGATAGTCAACATAGACTCGATTCCGGAAGTGCATAAAACAGACAGTATCATCAATGATATTATCGAGGACATCTTTCACCAGTACAAGGAATCGGACTCGCAAAGTGAGACGCAGCTCTGTCCATGCTCGACGATTAGCTTTGTGGACAACCGATTGAAATACTGGAAGAATATGATTCGTGAGCGCCGTGCTCTGCATCGAAAACTGTCGCTGGCCACGGGCAGGCTGCCAAAGGAGTTGCTCTTCAATCAGGACAATCGCGATGAGCAGACTATCAAACGTGTTCTGGATCAAGTATCGCGTAGGGATTCCAGTGCCTTATCTACCCTAACTGATAGTTGTTCGCGGCGACGTGAAAGCCATAATATTATGGAATTTGTAGGCTTACCAAAACCGATTACTATGGAGCTCGATTGTCCGGCGTATTTACGAAGCCCGTTGTTAGAGTCGCAGGTGCTTGATAAGCGTCTACAGCAGGAGAAAGCAGGTATTAAACATTTGCTAGAATTTTGTCCAAATGTCGAGTATCTTATGTTGATCGGCCGGAATATTTGGCGTAGAGACCCCTGTGTGAGAACATCCCTTCATACGATATCGAGCATTACGCCAGGCGAAATAACCGAATGTCCAACCGAGATTCTTGTAGCTCTCAATACTAATGACATAAGCTTACCTGATGCCAATTCGGAGATAGCTGTAAGCTTCAATGGCACCACTTATCGACGACATCGGCCGGAGTTTTCGCCCATTGTTGAGCGTAAGTTCGTTTGCCATCCGTACGAGTACTCCTATCGTACCATAATACACATCGAGAACAATGGCTGCCAGACGATCAACTTTAAATGGAGTTCTTCTGAGTTCTTCGCGTACAATGTAACGCTTTTCAAAAAGCCGGACGATGTGTTTGTGTTCGATAGTGAGCCCTTTATTCTGCGACCAGGCGGTGTACGTGATGTATCAGTTCTCTTCCGCCCTTGCCAGGTGGGCATCGTTAAGCAGCGGTGGCTGCTCAAGACGAGTCCCTGTATTTTCTTTCGTTTTCCCTATGCTCTGACTCTTAATATGCATGGCAAATGTACGCCACCGCGAGAGTATCTAAAGTTGCTCAAAGAGAAAAAGAAATGTAATCCCAGAAATTATTCAAATAACCGACGCAAGGTAGTACAAATAATGCCCCATTCGCTAAAAATACTTTGCCCATATAGTAGAGAGCTGGACGACAGCGAAGCTTTCAATCAGCGTAATGTGGGCTTTCATTGCGAACGCAAACTTGACATTATAGAGTTAAAAAGGTTTTTCGGTTTGGTAAAGCCGGAAAACTGTAGCTTGGAATGGGATTACAGTGTGAGCCTAATAATTGAGCTGATCTCCATCAAACAGGACACTCGATTGCGTGTCAGCCTCTTTGAGCAGCTGCAAGCGCTGCTGGCACCGTTACGTGGCCGAACAACGCCGCCGCTCAAGCTGAGTGATTCTATAAATATGCTGAAGCAACGGCAATGCACGAAGCTCATCTATGTGCGTGGAGCCATCTGCAATGGCATTGACTTGTGGGAGGAAAACTTTACAATGCTGGCGAAACAAAAGCTCAAAGGCGATAGCCGGTCACAAACTAAATTCCTTCGAGATGCCATATATATGTATACTTACAATAAGCTCTGTAATATAGCCGAAAATATTGCCTCGGTTATCGAGAGCACTGAGCATGTCTAGTATTAAACGTAATTCCAACAAATAAGCGTACATCAAAATAAAACTCTCACACACACACACACGTAAACAGCTATTAAAATACATTCAAAAGAAAAAATCTGCAACTATTTGTTAAAGGAATCATGCAGACGCGTCGAACGCAGGCGCTTATCCAATCTTTACGTAATGCTGACAATGACACCAGCGATGGCAACAAATTTTCGAACCTTTCGAAATCTATGGAAATCTCACAAAAGTTTGGCGGTTTTAAGGATGTCACTCGCCAAGATGGAAACAGACTCGTTCTCGATATTGTGAAGTCGATATTTGATGAAAAGTCGGGCGTAAATATTGCCTCCAGCTCGCGATGCTCGATCCCGGCGGGCTTCGAAGGCTCCGAGGATATGGATAAGCGTCTCAAGCGATGGCACGATACATTGCGTGATCGTGCCCGACTTCAGACGAGAATCTGTGATCGCATCGGCCGACAGCCCGAGCAGATGCTGTTCAATCTGCCCGGCTCATTGGAGCAGCGCAACAAGCACAACCTTATACGTGTAATGGACTACGCTGAGCGCATGAATCCCACCCAACGCAAACTGAAACAATATGGCGTTCTGCGCGCTAAATGTGATGCGAAGACGTGCGTCTGTCTGACGGCGGTGCGGCAGACAGTTCCGGCACCTGAACGTTCAGACGTTGTTGAATTAGAAATCTCTGGACTGTGTAATACAACTGAAAAGGAAATTTTTGGACCAAAAAAAAGACCGACGGCAAAAACCGACTGGATCAATTCGGAAAGACTCGAAAAGAGAATCGCCAAGAAAGCCAAGGACATTGGCCGGGTCCTCAATTTCTGTCCAGACGTTCCAGAACTAGAAGTGATTGGCAGTAATTTTATTTCAGTTCCAGAGCATATCGAGGATATAAATCTAATCCAAGTTAATTCATTATATTCCATAAGCAGCATAACCGGAGAGAGCTCGACTTCGACAGAGCAGTTGCCCCCTGTCGAATCGTTAGAGTTAGAGCCGAAGGTGTTCAATGTTGGCCTTAAGATCAACGACAATGTATACGTTATGGATACCGGAGACCGCATGTATTCCTCTGTAAGTTACGAGTTCTCCTTTGAGTGTTCGCCGTTCGAGCGGCAATTCAAGCAGGTTCTGCGCCTCGAGAATATCGGAAGAAGGATTTTCTTTTGTGAATGGCTGATATACGAGATGCCGGGTCACATGTGCGGCCATTGTTTCTTCTTCCAGCACAACAAATTCAAAATGTTTCCGGGCGAAGTACACATGATCAATGTTATGTTCCAGCCTCGTGCCGTATTTTTGAGCAGACAAAGATGGACATTGCGAATGTTTCCGCAACTATTTTGCAATCGGCGCAATTCTTTAACTTTGATTTTAGTTGGCAAGTCCGTCGCACCACCTGAGTATTTGCGCAAGCTCGACAAACAGTTGAACCAGGTTATCGAAAAGTCGCAGAAGGTGGAAGCTCAGGACCTGACCCACTTGCATGCCGAACTGGTGCCACTCATAGAGCCCAATGAGCGGCTGTGTCCATACGAGCGCGCTTTCGATGAACGCGAACAATTCAATGTCCTAAATTGTGGCTATCATTGTGAACGTTTTGACGATATCGAAGCGCTTCGTCGTCTCTATAATGGTATTAAGATGCCACGCGATCCGCCGTGGGACTTGCGCCTAGACACCATCAAGCGATTAATAATGCGACAGTCCGAGATAGAAAAGCGTGAAATTTATTTCCAAGATCTGCTTGACATACAAGAGACGCTCTGCTGCAGCAACGATCAGTCCCTAAGGCTCTATGACCACATTAGTGAGCGCGAGCGATCGTGTTTTATCTACGTGCGCGGCTGCATTGGCAGCGGCATCGAAGAGTGGGAGGACCTGATGATGTCCGTCGAAGAAAGCTGTTTCAAGACTGAGCTTACTTCCTTCTACAAAAGCACCTGGAAGGATTCAGTCGAAGATGCCACAACGACCAGACCCTGGCTACTTAAGCTCAAACGTGAACAGCCGAGACACTATGTGCACAGAATGATGCTGGGCAAAAAGTATTTCATAGATGCGCTCTATATGCAAACTTATACACAGCTTTGTAACATAGCCGAGAATGTGGTCTCCGTTATAGAGAGCACACAGTATATCTAAATAGTTGGTTTGTCTTGTTGTTAATTGACAGCGCCACTTGGTACAAAGTCGGTCCTTTAAAATTGTAGCATACCGTCGAGTGTTGACTGTAACAAGACAAGATATGCTACAATTATTACTTATTTCTCAGCTTAGCTAATTGCCTGCAGCATCAGCATACTTTTTGTAGTTTATCGTATAAATCTATAGTTGTGCAATAATAAATAAAAATTACAGTTGTCAGACGTGTTAGAAAATTGATTTCTAATGCGAAATCGAAGACAACTCTTTAAATCGAATTTTGGTTACACTCCCTTGGGAATAGACGCCGCTATTGATTTCTGCTTGAGTTGCCGAGGCAAATCGAAAAAAAAACTATTTCATGCTTAAGGACACACCTGTGTCCTACTATTTCGCCTGTGGGGCTAACTTTTGCCATTATTACTACGTTTTATGGCCAAAAGAATTGCCCATTTTCGTTTGGCTGGCTCTCAGAGCCAAGGCTCTAATGGCTCTTGCCTGTTGGCTGTTGCAAATGTTGCCCCCGCCGATAAAGTTTTGCCATTCCCTGCGTTCGATTTGTGCTACTTTGCATTGATTTGATGACACTTTGGGGGTTATTTTATTTGGCTAATAAACGCTCCCACATCGCTCGTCGATTGCGTGTCAAAAAGTTGTCAGTTCCCAGCTGCTAGCTCGTTGGTGTCTCTTGAAATGTGTCGACAAACGAGGTCATTATGTTTGCAATTAGCCAAATTGATTTTGTGATAGCAAGCAACCTCATACCTTTATGGCTGTACACATTTCAGCCCACATTTAGCACGCATTTAATTTGATTTCCATTTTCCTATTTTGCAGGTAAGCGAACAAGCACATTCCCATTGATTTCATATGCAATACTGGGTAAGTTTTACGGGGGCCCCCCAGGCGCCGGCTTCACACGCTGCAGCGCTCTATGGTGTCTGTCCACTCATAAATCATAAGTCAATGCACGGAAAAAAGAGCAAACATTTCCGCTCGCATTGTTTGATCCCTAATTAACCCACAGACCGCAAACAGACAAGACATCAACCGAGCGCGTTAATGTCGTCTCTCTGGCCTAATGACCAATGGCCAACAAAGCAGTTGGCCATCTACTTGTGCCGTACACAACATATTGACCAACTAACTGCCATTCATTGTGCTCCATATGTGGTCTTGGGAAATGCAGCTTGACCTTGAACTTTTCTCATTCTACTCCACTTAACGTACAATTATATATATTATGTATGTATATATATATATATGTGATTCGTTGGACTACATAGGTAATCAGGCTAAATTAATTAATTATTTTTTAATCGTTAGACTGGCTTAGCATATATAGTTCGTTATTTTTCCTAATACAATTTTCCAAATGGGCTAACTTAATAGATATATAGATAAATATGTGAAAATATCTGTTGATGGGATAAAATTTGATTGCAATTCATTAACTATACGGATCGCATATTGATTGTAAATTAATTTAAATTGAGAATACCTCTAGCTCAGGTCATCGCGACTGCACTGAAACCATCTTATGCGAAAATACACTACAACTAGAATATTTTAAAATATTTTTAATGAACATAAAATATACAAGGTAGTTGCATTATTTTAGTATAATTTTCACAATGTCTATTGGCTATGGCAACAACATTTTCTATCAATTGTCCGACTGACAGCAATATTTTGAATACTATTCAAAATACAATATATTTCTAGTGCACAGCCGATTCGAGGTTTTGTACTTGATTATTATTAATCTGAAATAATTTGAGCTAAAATATAAGTTGCGCACAAAAAGTGTTGCATCTTTTGGGCGCTTTTATAAAACAACAGCGCCATCTATGGCTCGTAGGTGGATAGTGAACCAGGGAACATAACATAGAAATTCGTTCGTTAACAGCTCATTAACATAATCCACAAAAATCAAATAAATTAATAATAAATAATAATAAAAAAACTTTATTAATTATTATCACTGTAATTTAATAGAATTATAAAAAAGGTAGATTCATTTTAAAATCAACAATAGAAAATACTTATTATACATGTTGCTTGTTAAGGCATTATTCAATGCGTCCCAAAAGTAGACAACATTCAAGTTAACAGCAACAAGAGTGTCGACAGCGCACTTTAACATTTGTGGCATGTGCGAGTGCGCAGTTTGAGAGCGACAGCGCATGCGAACGGTTTGCACCTGTTGCCAGCGCGCATTATATTCGCTTTCTTGTTATTGCGGATCGGGTCTCGGGGTCGAGCACGCTGCCAGTTTGTCGTGCGCCAGATCTGTCGTTTACCGTTGCTCGTGTTTGAGTTGCCCAAAGCTTAGCAGCCCAAGCAGCAGCAGCAAAAAATTGTCCGCAAATCAATATCAAAATTTGTAGTGCAGTGTCAAAGGATAAGCAACAAATTGCGAGTCGCGAATTGCAGGGCTGGGCCAAAAGTTAAGGCCAGTTCCAAAAGTTGGATAAGCCGCTCAGCAGCGCGGCAAAGTGTTAAAAGGTGCGTCGCTTCGATGTCTACATTGTCAACAGTGCGATACACAATAATAACAACAACAACAAAAATCCAAATAAAAAAATTAAACATAAAAAGGTTCACAAGATAAAAAACCAAAATGAAATTCGAAACTGATTTGAAATGCGAAGCACAGGCGTCATTGCGGCTGGCTTAACGACTGTATGTCTCTCTGTGTGTATGGTTGTGTGTGTGTGTGCTTGTAATATTTTTTATTTTTATCAGCGCGGCGAGAATCGAGCGATCATTATGAAATTTGATGGTTGCATACGAATGACTTAGGCAACGAACTTGTGCCAGCAGCAACTTAATGACCATTCATAACGCACTCT